CCAGATGCGCGTGTTGTTTGATTCTCAAGATATGTTAGATCTTGTCACCGATGGCTATGATCTGTTAGAAGTAGACACAACAGAGGCACATAAGATAACACATAGGGCGCTAAGGAAGAAAGATTGGAAGGCGTTGTTCTACATCAATCAATGTGTGGATGCAAATGTGTTTGAGAAGATTGTTGATTCTGAAACAGTAAAGGCTGCGTGGGACACACTGGTCAGATGTTATGGTGGTGACGCATCAATGAAGAAGGTGAAGCTTCAGTTTCTCAGAAAGCAATATAAGAATCTCAATATGAAGGACAATGAGAAGGTTTCTGAGTACATCTCTAGAGTGATTCTGATCACTAATGAGATGAAAGCTTATGGAGAAACTCCTTCTGAACAAATAATCATTGAGAAGATCTTGAGATCTTTAACTTCTCAGTTTGATTAAATTGTGGTAGCAATTGAATATTCCAAAGATCTGAGCACCATGAGAGTTGAAGAGCTACAAAGTAGTCTAGAGGCGCATGAGTTGCGTATGACTGCGAGAACTTCTGAGAGAGGAGTAGAGCAGCAGACACTGAAAGTAGCTTCTGGTAAGAAGTATCAGAAGCAAACTTGGTCAGAAGCCAGGAAGAAAACTAAGGGTGGTCAAAGGTCAGAAGCTTCAAACTCTGATAGGCAGAAGAATGTCCAAAAGGGAAAGGAGAAGTATGACAAGAAGAATGTTTAGTGTTATTGTTGCAAGAACTTTGGTAACTATGCTAAAGATTATTGGTCAAACAAAGAAAGGAAGTCAGAAGGAGCAAATATAGCCAGAGGAGAGTCATATGATGCACCTGTGCTATTGTTGGCTTCTAAACCTGATGATCTGAATGTATCAGAATGGTGGTATATGAACACAGGGTGTTCAAATCATCTTACTGGAAACAAGAAATGGTTGGTTAATTTTGACTCTGGGAAGAGTACAAAGATCAGATGTGCTGATGATAAATACCTCAATGCAGAAGGTATGAGAAATGTCAGAATCATTCTAAACAATGGGAAAGAAGCAGTGATCCAGAATGTATGGTATGTACCTGGCATAAAAAGCAACCTGATGAGTGTGGGACAACTGATTGAGAAAGGTTTTTCAGTATCCATGAAGGACAATCTTCTGAAGTTGTATGACTGTAATCAGAAGCTGATTATGGAGTCCGAACAGGGAAGGAACAGAACATTCAAGGTGAATGTTAGAACTGCAGACTCTGAATATTTTAGTGCAACAACTATTGTCAAGGAGAGAGTTGTGGCACCGAGTATTTGATCATCTGAATTTCAGAAGTTTAGGACATCTGAAATCAAAGAATCTGGTACATGGAATTCCTACAATCATGAATCCTGAAAAATCATGCAAGGTGTGAATGGAAGGGAAGCAACCAAGATTACCATTTGCATCAGAAGTAGCTCCAAGAGTAAAACATGCCTTGGGAGTAGTGCATTCTGATGTGTGCGGTCCTTTCCCAGTAGCATCAACTGGAGGGAATAAATATTTTGTGTCATTCATTGATGAGTTCACCAGAATGACATGGGCATCTCTCATAAAGTTCAAACACGAGGTGTTTGCTGAATTTAAGAAGTTCATACTGAAGGCTGAGAATCAGAGTGGCCAGACTCTGAATATTCTCATAACTGATAGTGGTGGTGAGTATAACTCCACAAAATTCAGAAGTTTTTGTGAGGAGAATGGAATTGAGCATGAGGTTACTGCTCCCTATACTCCTCAACACAATGGTATTGTTGAAAGAAGAAACCATACTTTTCTTGATATGGTGAGAAGCATGCTGAAAGAGAAGAAGCTTCCTCATACTTTATGGGGAGAAACTATTGAAACTGCATGTTATGTGCTTAACAGATGTCCAATGAAGAAATTGAAGGAAATAGTTCCTATTTAGAAGTGGACTGAAGATAAGCAAAGTGTTATTCATCTGAAGGTGTTTGCTTCTGTATGTTACAAACATGTACAAGAAGCCAGAAGACAAAAGTTGGATGATAGAAGTAAAGTGATGTTGCTGGTGGGGTACCACAGTACAGGTTTGTACAAACTTTATTGTTCAGAAACTAACAAAGTTGAGTTCAACAGAGACGTCATTATAAAGGAATCAGAAGTTTGGAATTGAGAAAGGTCTCGTCCTGACTCTGAGAGAGAACTCCTGAAGAAAAGTCAAAAATACATGTTTCTGAAGCTGGTAAAGACTCCAACTCTGAAGAAGATACAGAAAGAGAAGATGATTCTGACTCTGACTCCGATGGTGATCCAGACTCTGAAGACAATCAAGGTTCTAGAGAAAGTCCAATTTCTGAAGCAAGTGCTTCTGAAGGGTAAAGTTCTGGTGTCCAAAATTTTGAAGGTCCAGTTCAGAGGCAACAAAGAGTCAGAAGCATCCCAAGAAGATTTACAGAGTTTGACATGTTGCAAGAAACTGAAGGAGAAGTTATTTAGTGTGCAATGTTAGTAGATTCTGACCCCGTGAGTAAGGAAGAGGCTCTTAAGCATCAAGTTTGGTTACAGGCCATGAAAGAAGAACTTGATGCTATAGAGAGAAACAAGACTTGAAAGCTGACAGAACTTTCAAAAGGCAAGAAAGCCATCAGCGTCAGATGGATTTTCAAGCAGAAGCTAAAGCCAGATGGATCAATTGGCAAACACAAAGCAAGATTAGTAGCAAGAGGCTTTCTATAGAAGCGTAGGCTGGATTACTTTGAAGTGTTTGCACCTGTCGCGAGATATGAAACAATCGAACTAGTGATTACAATAGGTGCTAACAAGAATTGGCCTCTGATGCATTTAGATGTAAAATCTGCATTTCTGAATGGTCCATTACAAGAAGAGGTATACGTATCACAACCTCCTAGATTTGAGAAAAAGAATCAGGAAGGGATGGTGTTCAAATTACACAAAGCCTTGTATAGATTGAAGCAAGCGCGCAGAGCTTGGAATTTGAAGATTGATTCGTTTTTTCAAGGAACAAGGGTTTCAGAAGTGTGAGATGGAGTATGGTGTTTATGTTCAACATATTCAGAAGGTAATATGATTCTGGTCTGTTTGTATGTTGATGACATATTACTCACAGGAAGTTTTGAACAAGAGATAGCTAAGTTCAAGAAAGTTCTGATGAATACGTTTGAGATGACAGATCTTGGGAAAATGAGTTTCTTTCTAGGGATGAAAATTATGTACTCTGAGAAAGGAATTATTTTACATCAGATGAAGTATGAACTTGAGCTTCTGAAGAGATTTAAGCTAGAAAATTCCAAAGTTTCTATCACACCTACTGATACGAATAAGAAGTTGGACTCCGATTCTGATGGGGAGGATATGGATGCTACAACCTTCAAACAATTGGTTGGTTCTCTGAGGTATTTGTGTAATACCAGACCTGATATTTGTTATGCAGTTGGAATGGTTAGCAGATTTATGAGTAGACCAAAATGGTCTCATTACCAAGCTGCTGTCAGGATTCTGAGGTATGTAAAGGGAACTCTGAAGTATGGAGTGTTATTTCCGTCTGGAAGAAAGATCGAATCAGAACTTCTGATTGGTGCAGATAGAGTTGACAGAAGAAGTACATCGGGGTACTTATTCAAATTTATGGGAGGTCCTATTTCTTGGTGTTCCAAGAAGTAACATGTTGTTGCGCTGTCAACCTGTGAAGCTGAATATATTGCAGGAGTTTTGACTGCATGCCAAGCTGTGTGGATTCTGAACTTGCTGAAAGATCTGAAGATTGAGGTAAATAAACCTCTGAAGCTGATGATTGATAACAAGTCAGCAATCAATCTTGCCAAGAACCCAGTGCTGCATGGGAGAAACAAGCATATTGAGACCAAGTATCACTTTCTGATGAATCAGGTTCAGAATAGAACATTAAAAATTGTGCACTGTAGCACCCAGAAGCAGCTGACAGATGTTCTAACAAAGGCTATTAAGACTGGTCAATTTCTTCGCTTGAGGGATGGAATTGGTGTTGTCGATTTTGGATAAAATATAAATTAAGGGATGATATTAGATTTAATCTATATTTTAGGAATATCTTTTGGATATTAATCTACATTTTAGGAATATCTTTTAGAAGATATTATTATATCTTTTTATATCTTTGTTAGATGGTATTTAGGATTTTATTTTGTGTATAAATAGTCTAATGAGATAGCTCAATGTAATTAAATTGTAAATCATTATTCCTTATTTTTATAACTGTAATTTAATATATTTTTTTTGCCTTTCATTTTTTTTGTGCACCAACATAACATTCGTATAAAGTTAAAACAACTTTAAAATAAATAATTGAAATAAAATATATAATTAAAAAGTTATAATTTAAACAATTACACAGAATGAATAACCTAATTCACCAGATCTAGAATTTCTTATTAATAATCACGTATAGTGAACAACTAAATTTATCCGATCAAAAATTGTTAGTTACAACTACACTGTAACTTAAAGAGAGATTTGTCACTGGTTTAATATTCTCATATGTACCATATATATTAAACAAAATATTAAAACCACCTGATGCCTTTTAAATCTCAAAATTGTAAACAAATTTTATGATATTTATTTCACAAATATGCATTAATATCAATATTGAAAATAAATTATTCAATTCAAAAATTGATGTAACAATAAAAGGCTATAATATAGAATAAAACATTGAATATTTCCTTTATGAACGTTGGAGTTATTTAGAAAGTTGATAATCAAACAATCGAGTACAATACAAATTCATTAATCCATTGTTAAAACAAAGAAGGTCATATTCTTCATAAATAGCGTAATCCAATTTTGAAATCATGAACAATATATATTTTATATTTTCGAAAAGAGTTAAAGGATAAACCATCACAATCATAAACTTCAAATTGATTTGCCTAATCATAATTCCAAATACATTAACGAGTATCACGCCAAACTAAAATCATGAATTAGGATTAGTTTATAATCTACACAATAACCATAAAATGTATCCTTAAGTATATTGTTCAATACACTCTTTCAGTTTTTGTAAACTCACAGGTTTTGATACAAATGAGTCCATACCATTAGCAAAACACTCTTCTGCACTCTCTGACAAAGCATTTGCTGTCATCTGCATTCACACAAGGCAGTAATTATTTACTTTCCAAAATCATTCATAATAAGAATGGAATTTTTTTGTAGTATGCTAATAGTTGTTTAGATAATCCAATAAACAACTTAAAGATGTCAGTTTATTTTCTAGTTAATATGTTAATGGTTCTAGTCTTCTAGAGCTTACCGCAACAATGGGAGTTCGCTTTGTCGATGGAACAGAACTTTCATAGTCTCGATCTAGTACATTTTGCTCGATTCCAGCATTCTTAGCAGCATCCCAATTTCCTGTTTCCTCAAAAGACCGAATCAATTTTGTTGCTTGAAGTCCATCCATAACCGGCATGCACACGTCCTGTAAAGTTTGACTATCAAATCGTTTAATCAATGCAAATTATTCATGGAGTGAAAGTTAAAAAGGATATAATTCTGAGATCTTAAATTACCATCAGAACCAGGTCATAAGTACAGCGTTGTACTGCTCGCACGGCTTCAGCTCCATTAGTGACAACATCAATGTTATGACCCAACTGCTTCATCATGGATTGTGTCACCATGATGTTGATCTTGTTATCTTCCACAAGAAGGATCTTAGGCTTAGATATGGATTTGGTTACTTCTGATTTACTACTTCTACTAACACATTCAGTAGTTGTGTTTACCACCATATTCTGAGAAGAATCTGCACTACCATTTTGAAACCATGCATGAGTGTTATACAGATGGTGTTTATTACTAGATGAACTAGCTGATTCAGACATATCTGAGGCGTCAACAACTGAAGATGAATCATCGAACGAACACGTCCCTTTTGATATGATGTCATTTGAAATAGCAGGAAATGAGAATGAACTCTCGGAAAATCCACTGAATTTGTGTGGCGATAGCTTGTGAGTTCGGTTTGTTTGGAATTGGAAGAAACCTTCTGTTGTTGTATCATCAGAAGCGGCTTCGTTATGCTCCATGTCTGAGAATTCATCGGAGTAATCAGAACTATCACAAGCAATTGAGACCTTGTATGGCAGAATGAATGTGAAAGTAGAACCATGCTGTTCTTTGCTAGACACTGTTAGATTACCCCCCATCAACTCAACCTATGCCAAGTGCACAAAAAATGGTGGAAATTTGGAAAGTGAAGAAAACAAATGAAATTTGACACTCAACAAATACACAAGAGGCTTACCAATTGTTTGCATATTGCTAGTCCTAGCCCTGTACCTCCGTACTTTCGTGCGTGATCTACACTGACTTGCATGTACCTTTTAAATAAACTATGTTTTGCATTTTCTGTTACATTGTAACATGGAAAAATTATTCATCTGATGAGAATAAACATTAAGCTAGACAGAGACAAAGTAGTGACATTCGATACCTGGTATTCCAATGCCTGTATCATATACATCACAACCTATCCACACGCTTGTTTCAGCTGAGTGATGTTGATCCTCCTTATCTCCATTCATCGAGCATTCGTTTTGAGGTGTTGAGAGATATTTTTCTTCTTTCATTACATTTAGAGAAATGGTTGATTGGCATGATGTAATCTTTTGTATGCTTTCAGCTTTTGAAAAAATTGGCTCTTGCATAACATAAAGGCTTATCCCAACTTTGCCTTCATGTGTAAACTTGATGGCGTTGCTGCAAAATATTATCAATCAACCATAACTGCAACAATGTTGCACAGTTTGAGACTACTAATCGCATAAAATTTAGTACCTGATTAAATTTGTGAGGATTTGTCTAATCCTTAATACATCGCCAGTAACCTGCAATTATGCATGAATCAGGTGAACGGAAAATTAATCAACACGAATCAGACGAAATTATGCTTAATGTTTTGATGTCATGACCATCTAGCACGCATAGTAATAGTTAGAATTATGCAAATGTTAAATATCTCATCACCTCGATAGGCACATCATCTGCTACATGTCCTTCTAAGGTTAATATTTTCTGCAATGATGCTGCAGCTGTCTGAAGCACGTGCTTTACTACCTCTCGCGGTCGAAATTTTGTAGCCTCCAACTTCATTACTCCTACATAGAATCAAGATTTTTGGATGTATGAATTAGTCTATGTAATTCTCAAGTTTATATATAAATAATAGGATTTAGTTCATATATACACCGTTAGTGTAAACGTTTTTCAATCATTACTACTTCTAGAGTCGCGTGATTGGTTGTGATTTGTTGATGGTGTAAAATATTTTACGCAATATGGTATCATAATTAATCTGAAAACAAGGATAGATTTCCAACCTGACTCAACCTTGGAAAGATCAAGTATGTCATTTATAAGTTGAAGAACCAAGTCTCCGGATGATAACATGACATCCAAGAGCTGTCGTTGTTCCCTATCAAGTTTTGTGGTGGAAAGAATTTCAGCCATGCTAACAACACCAGACAGTGGAGATCTTATCTCATGTGACATTGTTGCCAGAACTTGTTTTGCTCTCATAGTTTCCTCTATTCAAAGGGGATGAAAACTTAAACATAATCAGCTTTCGTGCTGCAAAAACAAATTAAAATTTGATAAGAGGAATTGTTAATGGATGAATGAATCAACCTGTGATGTGAATGGTTTTATTCAGTTCTGTTTCCTTCGCTTTTTGAACAGCTATCTCTTCGCGAATCTTCGCCATTCTTTCTCTTTTTCTCACCTTCATTTTCCAAGAAACATAAATATCCATGCAAGTAAAATTCAAAACCAACGTTTCACAAGAAATCAACAATAACATTTACCTGATCTGTTACATCCATTCCCATGTAATTGATTCCAATTGTTTCTCCTGTCTTGCTGAAGACAGGTTCTACATAAATCAAGAATGTCTTCGAGCCAAATAGTTCTGTCTCGAAAGTGATTTCCCTTTTGGCAGGCAATCCTTTTTCTAAAACTTCCATCTTAAAATCTTGAGACTCCCTAACACCAGATCCAGTGAATATTTCAACATCCGTTTTTCCTATGATGTCCTGAAAAAAATGATAGAATATGGTTCAAAATTTGATGTATCATCAAATCCTATAAACTTTGCAAGAAATGCTTCAACAGAAAAAATCATTACCTCCTCTTGCAAACTAGGAAAGTGATTATAGATAAAGCGATATCGCAACTCTTTGTCCTGATGGCCAATAACAACCGGAGCATTTTGGAGTATAAAATGCAAGAAATTATCTGCTCTCTTCAAAATCTGAGAGAGTTCTTCAACAGGTGATGATTGTCTCTCAAAGTTCTTAATACTCTCTTGCAACTTCTGTTCAAGAGACTCTTCTCTCATCATACTTGCCTCCAGAAGCTTTTCCAAGTGCGCGGCTCGCTGTTTCCAGTAAACAACCGTATCATACTCGGCATCAATTTCAATTCTCTTGTTTTGAACCACAACATCACTTTTTCTACAAGGTATGTCTTGATCTTGTTGCCATATATCATAAACATCATCCAATATAGAAACCGGCCGTTTATCGCCTCCATATCTTTCTTCCTCGAACCTATGCTCTTCCAGTATCTCCAACTTCCTTAACTCAACATCCTTTCGTTGTTTGTTTAGATTGTCGAGTTCTTCTCTTAGAAGACGCGCGACGTTGGCTTGTTTATACTCCCAGTGTTTCATAAGGTTGGCTAATTGAGAAGAACCTTTTTCGGTGAAATTTGTTAGCTCCATGAGACGCTTGAAATCGGCTATAGTTGGTTCTTCTATGATTGTAATCTCTTCTAACACACCTTGGTCATTTCCGGGTTTTTCGATATTGAACTGTTTTCCAACATCCATTGCAATATCTTCTGGCCACATTGAAGGAAGGACTTCAATTTCCATAACATCATCAACACACTCTTTCTCCATAATGTGCTCTTTTCTATAATACACCACTGGTGATTTCAACTCATTTAGTGGCATTGGCAAAGAAGTACTAGTCCAAAATTCAACAAGTCTGAGAAAAAAGTCAAATAGGTGAATTCAATTCTATGGCAAGTTTTCAAGGTGGGAGTAAACACTCAAACTGGTCCCTAAAATTGTAGGGTTTTATTAATTTAGTCCCTCAAATTATCAGTCAAACAAGGGAAAAACATATCAAAGGAGAAGCATAAAAATTCCACTGACACCTCTGAATAAAGGTGTGTCTGGTGTCATATATATGTGTCAGTGTTTCATTGATAAAAATCAAAAACAGGAAAATTGAGACCAAAGTGATGTATTAATATATAAGAATAACAAAGAACTGAAAAGCTCATGACCAAGTTTAACTAACCTTATATTCTGAGGAATCTCTTCAACTGTGGAGTCAAATGCATTAAGCAGATAAAAACTGATTGAGAACTAATTTGGCTTTAGTATTGTTTTGTCTGAATGAAATGAAACACTTCAGGTGCTGATTAAACAATAAAATACAAACAAGCCATATATATATATATATATACCTGATTATGTTTGTTGCTCTCTCTTTCCCCAAAAGAGAAACAGTTTCAACTAATCATGCAATTGTGGAGAGAGAAAATGGATTTAAAAATTGAGGAAGGTATTGGTACGTTCCCCGCCATTTCCGAAGTGAATCCTGTGATAACTTTAATAGGTTCCAAAAAGCAAGACTAAATTAATCAAATTACACACGACGTATGTAGTAGTAGTAGTACTAGTCATATGTTTTGTTTAAAAAAATAGTAGTCACGTAATACTAATTATATATAGATAGACATTCAACATGTGCCAATAAGTGAATTGCATTCGATAGTTAAGCCTTGTCTATTTAAAGGTTGGGCTTTGGAATTAATTAGTGAGATACGACCCCCTTCATTTGAGAGTTAAAAATGTATTCTAGTCGGAATAGATTACTTCACCAAATAAATCGAAGTTGTACCATTGGCTAATGTCGACCAAGAAGTAGTTATAAACTTCATCCAAAACCATATTATTTATAATTTTGGAATACCTCAGACAATAACCACCGACCAAGGGTGTAACGCCCGTAATTTAATTAATTATTTAATTAAATTATTTCTGGAATATTTGTGAAGTTATGTTGTGATTAGTTGGAATTATTTATTTTATTAAGTGGTGAAATAATATTATGAGAAGGATGATATTATTTTATTGTGGGCTTGTTTTAAAGGAATAGAAGCAATAAGGAGGTGTATTAATTTTAAGCCCATTAAGGAATAAAGAGAATAATAGATTATTTTATTATTGTTAGAAATAACAAGAAAGAAGAAGCAGTAAGAAGAATAAGGGTTTGAAAGGAAGAACGTGAAGTTGTTGGAATAGAGGAAAAACGGCAGAACGAGAATTCAACCGGAAGTTATAGAGCGACCTTCAATCCAAGGTAAGCGTGGGGTTCTGACTCTATAATAGGGTTCATGATAACTGGTATGTGGGGTTAGAGGTGATTGTTGTCTTGTTCATGAATTGAATGTATATGAGGTTGTATGATGAAAAATCGATGAATTTTGGATGAATAATGATGTCTCGATGTTGTTTAATTGATGTAGAATTATAGGATAATTGTAAGTGATGGTTATCTATGATTAGATATGTTTTAAGGCTTAAGGTATGAAACCCATAGTGAAAACGCAGAAAAATCGCAGAAAATACCTTTAGCAGAGCAGTATGTGTCGATCCCAAATGCTATGTGTCAATATAAGAATGTTGTTAGACTCAGTATGAATCGATACGAAGGAGTCATGTGTCGATACATGAGGGCTTTCAGACTCAGGATGAGTCGATACGTAGGAGCATGTGTCTATACATGCAGAGTTGCAGACTCAGGATGATTCGATAAAAGGGAGGATGCGTCGACTCATGTTTCGAGTTCAGTTCAGTACACGTCGACTCAAGGCGTTATGCATCGATCCATGTTGTCTGGTTTTTGGCAGAATCAGTTTGAGAATGCTGTAACTTGAGTTTTTGGACTCCGTTTGAGGTGTCGTTCTGTTGGCTCCCAAATTCGACACTTGCTATATTTGGACTCTTTGACCAAACAACTGGAAATGAACTACACCAGGAGATGTAATTCGACGCATGAGATAAATTAAGGAAAGGATCCAAGGTATAATAAGAAAGCTTCGACCAAATGTTCATTCGACCGAGGCAGATGTAGGTTATTTCGACTGAAGGGAAGTGTTCGCGCCTTGGCACATGGGACGAAGGCCATTTTGAAATTTGAATTATTGGAGGGAAAGGTGGTTTTTATCAGCGTCTAAAGGAAGGAAACGTGGCAAAAGGCTATGGGTCGAGAGGCATGCAGGAGACATTTGTCTTCATCCTAGCGCATAATATCCCCTCGATGGTTACCTATTTTTAGTATAAATTAAGAAGTTTGTATAATTTTTAGTGTGTGCAACTTATAGTACAAAGTCTCTCAAATATTATCCAAGTAACTACTGTGTGAGAAAGGATAAAAAGCAGAGCAATGTACGTTAGAAACACCTTTTTTACTTAATAAAAGTCTTTTCACTTTACTTTACCATTATCTTGCAAAGTTATCTTTTACTTCTTTTTACTTCTTTTACTTGCATTTTTATGTTTTCATTTACTGTTCAACAATCTTAAACATCTCTCCCCTGGGTCGAACGTGCGTTCTTCCTTCTCACTCATTTTACATAAAGATTAGCATATATTCTGGGATTAGTTTGGTCGATCCCGCAAGCAAACCAAAAACTTACCTTTTTTGGAGACCAGCGGTTGTTTACCAAAAACAACGGTAAACAAATTGGCACACCTGGTGGGACCTTGCTAATTGTCTATGTTATTGTGTTTTTTTTCTATACAGTTATAACATTGCATGTTATTACGGAGTGGTAGAATAACCAACAAATATACTGTTAGGAAAGAAAGCGGAGAGAATAATATGGCTAATGAGCCAAACCATGGAGAGGTACCTCCACCGATCACAGGAACAACAGTTACTACTGTTGTCGAAGGGACTATCCCAACTTATGTCAGATCCATGCCAGCATTAACCATGAATAAAACTGGACCCTTACATACGTATATGGGTCCAAGAGGTCCTTCAGGAACACCCCACCAAGGATGAACCTAGGGTCTCAATCAACTGTACCCCCAGGCTTTTCGACAACCTGGATGGGTCGAGAGCAGCCATATGGCATGCCAACTACTGAAATGGCTAGCCTTATGAATGTTGTGTCTACTTTCTCAGAACCTTTGATAAATGCTACATCACCATTACAGGGATCTGGAGCCAGTAGAAACCAATTTTTAGGAGGGCCATCTCATATGATACCAAGTCTTACAAATGCTTCGACAATAATTTTGAGGCAACAGATAGACGAAAGTAACCATGAAATGGTACAGATGTTAGCACAAACTCTAAGTACAGTACTAAATCCCCTCATTCAGACTGCAACGCAGTCGAATCAACAGATGACAGCGCAAATAACGCGCATGGCTGAATTCTTTGGGGTGCCTCAAGTTGCTTAACTACCCCAAGTTGTTTGACAGCCCCAGAGGGTACCTATAAGATTAAATCAAGAGGTAATCATGGAAGAAGATTTGACCATTAATCCAAACTCCCAAGTTCCAAGGATCGAAGTAGAATAACCAAGATTAGAGATACCTCGAAACCATCGAGAAATTGATCAAGGCGTTATTCTGGCAAATAGAAACCAAAATGCTGACGAATTAATACAACAAGTTCGACACCAGAACTATGGGGCGGATAATAATTTAACTGCTATGATCGAGAGAATCATGCTTCAAAACAGGATGAATGTTGGTTTCCATAGACCAAACTTTACATCCCCATTGTCAGAATATATTCTGCAAATAGACTTACCACCTAGGGGAAAAGTCCCAAAATTCACTAAATTTTCGGGGGATACGACAGAGTCGACTGTCGAACATGTGGCTAGGTATTTGATAGAGGCGGGAGAAATAGCAAACAATGAAAACCTTAGAATCAAATACTTCCCAAGTTCATTAACTAAAAATGCTTTTACTTGGTTCACTACCCTCCCAGCCAATTCGATCCACAACTGGAACCAATTAGAAAGATTATTCCATGAACAATTTTACTTGGGTCAAACCAAGATAAGTATAAAAGAATTGGCTAGTGTAAAAAGAAGGTTCACTGAGCCAATTGATGAATATATAAATAGATTTCGACTACTCAAAGCCAGATGCTTTACCCAAGTACCTGAGCATGAATTAGTTGAAATAGCAGCATGTGGCCTGGATTATTCGATTAGGAAAAAGTTGGATACACAATACCTAAGAGACATGGCCTAACTTGCTGATAGGGTTCGACAAGTAGAACGCCTTAAGGCTGAAAAGGCCAAAAATACTAAAACTCTTAGACGAGAAAGGGTAGCTTATATCGAAATGGATGATGACGATCCAGAGGCATACAATGATCCTGTAGATATCGAAGAAGGCGAAATTGATCTAGCTGAATTAAAAAATGGACCACCATATGCTTGTAAATTGTTGGTGCCATCAAATGGAAAAAATCCTGTGGAACCTGAGAAAAGCAGTGATAAATTTCCTAAGAAAACTTATAGTTTCGACATATCCAAGTGTGACGAAATATTCGATCTATTAGTTAAAGATGGACAGATGATAGTGCCCCCAGGGGCCAAATTGCCTCCTTTAGAACAGAGAAAGAAAAGAGGTTTTTGTAAATATCATAATTTTTTAGGACATAAGACCTCACAGTGTTTCCTTTTCAGGGATCTCGTTCAACAGGCACTGAATGAAGGAAGGCTGAAATTTGCTGATAAACCAGCAATGAAAATCGACACCAACCCACTACAAGCAGAAGCTCATTATGCCGAACCAGTTGGCATTCATATGGTAGAAGTGTCTGAAGATTTCATCACCAAACCCATCTTCGG